AACCACAGATCAGACGATAGATCCGACGGTTCAGATCGGAGGCCACCTTGGGAGGCAGAGGCCGAACTGGCGGCCGGCCGGTATTTAGGCCCAGCCAATGGCCATTTCGGGGACTTCGGAGGACAGCAGCATTGAGGAACGCCGCTGCGCTATTTCGGTTCAGCGCAGCGCTAGACAGCAGCACTAGGTGTAGCGCTGGCTGTAGGGAGAGGAGAGAGCGAGGAGGGAGAAATACCTGACAGCAGCCATGAGCGCCATAGCTCCCAGCAGCACAGCCGTCTCCTGCAGCAGCCAAGGCGCCACCTTGTACCATCAGGTAGGGCCTAGAGCTACTCGCCATCTCCGCCAATGCTCTGCCCCTCTCTTCTTCTTCTTCTTCAGACTTCTTCTTCTTCTTCTTCTTCTTCTTCTTCTTCTTCTTCTTCTTCTTCTTCTTCAGACTGGAGACTATTGATACGAGTTGGACAGAGATCAGTGATTAGACTTCGGTGGTAGGAGGCTATGATACTTACCGGATTCGAGACATTGGAGATAGTTGGGATTGATACCAGGCGGCATCACAGATCTGACATCGGTTACATTAGGATTCTGTACCTCCGACATTGGTGACTTATGTCCACGACATTNACTTATGTCCACGACATTCTGATTTTGTTCGGTGACATTTTGGGCTACCATATCGGTGACCTTCTGGATTCTATCTCGGTGACATCTGGCGCTGTACATATCTCCCACCTCCATTGTCTCTCCTCCCACCATTCATCTGTGTATGATTGTACGGGGCCTGAAGCATCGTCCATGTATGGCTTCAGACCCCCTCCATCTCACGATGGCTTCTATGTGAGTCAGTCCATTTCTCAGACTTCCGCTGTATACATGCTCATCCTATATTGGTTGATCTTTGGGTCTGCCCATACTTGGTGAAGTATTCACTAGTATGCAACAGTTTGGTATCGGAGCAGACCAATTAAGTGGATCTGCTCACAGGGTAATTCTGATTAGGGAATCGATTGCTTAATTAGCATTGTCTTTTCCGAATTAGTTCTGCATTGCTACCGAAGATTCAAGTTGCAGAATTCTGTTTCTAATTCGGTATTTTATTCGGTATTGAATTAGGATTGCGATAATTTTCGGTTTTTCACATTGGGGGAAAATTTGCGTTTCTGGAACCATCAACCGGAAATTAGGGTTGAGGTCCGAAATTTTCGCGAATTTTTTTTTTTCTCCCCAATTGTTGAAATTCCGAATGCGGACTTCGGCCTTCCGGAAATCGGACTATTTTAGGTTGAAATTCCCGAAATTTCACGTTTTTTTGAAAATTCGAGTGTTTTTCCTTCCCTCTTTTTTTTTTTTTTTTTTTTTTAATGAAAATTGCTCCAATCTATTCGTGGGGAACAGCACATGCTGGGAACCGGGCCCATCGTCCCTTATAATGGAAATACATTGATGATTGATGATAATTGCTGATAATTTGGGATGATTGAGGATCATTTAGGATGATTGAGGATGATTTAGGATGATTCAGGATGATAGAGTGGATGATTGGGGTCATGAAATCGAGCTAGATGACGACTACTCAGAATGATTGTGTACTCAGCACTCAAATACTATCCTATCCCTAATTTCCTGTATCCATTCCAACCAACCAATCACAACTGAGCCTGTGATGTGCACCAATCAGGCCTCTTCCCGGTCTCACATCCCAATCTGGCTCAGTTACAGGGCAGCGCTACCCACTCCAGCTCCGACCATTGTTGGCCAGATTGTAGCCATTAGTCAAGTTTGCAGATTGCCTTCCTCCCTCGGCAATCCCAGACCTCTATACCGTCCAGATTGTAGCCATTAGTCAAGTTTGCAGATTGCCTTCCTCCCTCGGCAATCCCAGACCTCTATACAAAGTCTCAAGCTCCTACTCAAGCAGGTTACAGGGCACTACCCCAGCGCCGTCCAGCGTCATTCTGGCGCCAACTCAACCTGACCATTACACAAAAAGGCTCAATTAGGGAATTAGTTAAGCTAGAATGCCAACCAGAAATCTAGGATCTGATAATATCAGAATCCTGATCAAAAAGCCTTTCCGATGATGAAATTTGACGAGTACCCTGAGATGATCACAAATATGATGGATAATGATGACAATCCTGATGACTGTTCCTCTCCACCCCTCCCCTTCCTCGATGTACTCTCCTCCTCTTCCCTCGTTTTCTCTTCTCCTCTCGCTGCCTCCGCTGAGCCGAACCCCGCTATCAGCATGAAGTTCCTATCGGCCCCAACAAGAGAGAGAACCTCCCCATTCCCTTCTGCCTTGAGGTAACCAGTTCCCCCAATAGGTGTACCTCAAAACTAACACTCTGACCTAGTCTGCCTCCACCAGGAGATAATGCGCCCCCATACATTATCCCCCAGCCTCAGCCCAGGTCAGCTCCCATTATCTGCATCTACTCCTTGGAGGGCAATTTGTGTTTTTCCTTTCCTGATTGTCCGAATTTTTTTCTTTTCAGGTCGCAGACTGTCCGAAATCGTTTTACCCCAGAACTACAACTTCCGGGAAGTTCACTAACAATGGTGAACTCCTGGACCATAGGTGATCTCAACAGACACCTGATCTGCCAACAATTTAAATTTCGTATTTTAAATCATTCTTTATTCTTATTATTTATTATTTATTTAGTATCTTCGAAATTAAATTGTTCGGGGGGAAAAGATCACCTTTTTCCTTTTGATTAGGAGTCCAGTCCACATTGGGACAGGGGACTGTATGTTGATTGTTTGTTCTGTTCTACCCCTGTTCCCACCCTCCCTGCCCTCCCCGTGCCTGTGAACACCGAGATTTCCAAGTACCACATCAGCCCACGCTGATGTCGACGGAACAGGACACCGGGGCACTGCCACGACGCAGTGCCAGGCTCGCAGTTTGTAGCCACTCTGTGCTACCTCCACGGCCTAAGTATCAGCAACAACGACGCGGCAGGAGAACGACTCAAGCGGCATACAGTACCAATGCAGTACCGTTCACCGCAGGGATCCTCCCCACCTGTCCAGTCCAAGGGGACCACGAGACTTTGGCAGCTTACCTTCAGCGGGTGCAAGCATTCACAGATGCCGTCGCCACAGCAAAGGCACAGCAAGAGGCAGCAGAAGCAGAACGTCAGCGGCTTGCCCAAGAGGCGGCGGCCCAAGCTCAGCGGACTGCTGAGGCTGATGCAACGGCTCGAGACAAGCGGAACGCCGCCAGCACTGAATCCTTGATTCAGAATGAGAGTCAGTGGACAACACTACTCCAAGGCATGATCTTTGTGCCTATGACCGAGCAGGCGGATCCGACACCGGCGGAGGCAGAAAGGAGTAACCTGGCTAACTTGATGCTGTGTATGATGAAGGCGGGAATGTGGAATAACACGATGCAGACAGTGCACGCGCACACTGGACGGCAGCTGAGACAGACTCAGCAGAGAGAGTCTTCAACTTTGACAGCCGCCATCCGCTCAGAAGCACAACATCAGCAACAACAGCAACAGCTGTTGGCATCCACTATCACACGCGTCAACAGCATCGAGGCTAAGCCCTCAGCAGCACCAGGCTGCACAATGGACATAGCGAAGCAGCTCGGAGAGCGCATCGACCACGTCGTCAACATCAAGCGACCTGGGTGACTTTACCAGTCCGGCCACGATCAACAGCACGGTGGCCGCCATCAAGACGGACATCACCAAACTGCAGACACGACCGGAAGCCGCCTCAAAAGCGTACAAGATGCCACGCTTCAACATCGGGAAATTTGATGATTACAACAAAACAGACGCTTTGGCATGGTGGCAAGCCTTCATCAAAGAAGCAGCCTGCCACCACGTGCCAGACTACCTGATGATGACAGCACTCTACCTCCAACTCATTGGAGGAGCACAGGCATTCATGAACCACATGGCGGCCAATCTGGGAACCACCATCGCTGATGTGCACACACACATCACGTGTGAGCAGTTAGAGCAAATGTGGCACACTCGACTCATGGTCCGAAATGTAGTTAAGGTGGCCATGAACGACGTCTACTCCAGCTTGCAAGGGAACATGTCAACACAAGACTGGACGATCAAGTGGCAGAAGATATTAACCACTCCTGGTTTCGACTTAAGTTTCCCAAATCTGCGATCCGAATTCTTTTCGCGATCGTGCGCAGGACTGCGGTCGACACTCGGCAACGAGTACGACAATTCCTCATTCCAAGGCATCCTTGACCGTGCTAACCTGGTCATCCAAACAGATGACAAGGCCGCCAACGAAAGGCAGTCCCAGCCGCAATATGTGGCTAAGCAAGGCTACCAAAGGTCAGCGCATAACAATGTCGTGATCACTGACGGATCACCTGATCTCCATGCTGCAGCAGCCTCCTCGAGTGATGGAGGAGTTGTCGCAGCGCTCCCGCCGAAGCGTCCAAAAAGGGTTCGGAAGAACAAGGCGACACAAGGGACGGCATCGACGGAGACTAGGCAGCAACCATGGACGACATACAACATCACCAAGGAAGTTTTTGAACTTCGACAATAGTATGGGTATTGTTTTTGGTGCAGCAATGTAAACCACACTACTGCACAATGCCCGGACAAGGGCAAGGCAAAGGTACCCCGTCCAGCTAACTCGGGAAACCAAGTTGCGCACGAAGAGGGGCGGCGCCTCTTCACACTCCGCCGGAACCGGTTGCCTTGCTAACAACCGATATCACTACCGGGGAGCATGCGTTAGTCGCTGATTCTCGTGACACATACGAGGATTATGCCGCCCAGTTGGTGCCACCATTGGACCAGCCTAGCCACGTGCACTTAGATAGTGTATGCGTAACTTGTACACCGTCGGCAAGAAAACCGGTTAGTTCGCCACTTATTTTCGAGGACTCGACTCAAGGCTGGAGGATCTCGACCCGCTCACGAGAGAGGACTTCTCTTGGATGCCTCTACCCTCGACTGAATTCTTGCTAAAGCCTCATTGTAACGCCTTGATGGCAGATTTACGCTCCTACTTGCACGCTGCAGTACCAGCTCCGTTGACGGACGACGGAGTAGCGGTAGTCGATCTCCGCTCCCATCTTGCGAAGATTGACCACGAGTACGCCACCCAAAGGTACGTTGAGACTGACGCTCCTTTGCTCTATATCCGCATTCAAATCGGAAAGGCCACCTGCAATGCCTTGATTGATTGCGGAGCGTCTCGCAACTTTATGAGCCAAGCCTTTATGGCCCACGCGGGCCTCGGCCCCCGTGTTCGAAGGAAGACGCAACCTACGCAAGTCACACTTGCGGATGACCGCACACAAAAGTCAATTGACCGATGCGTTGATGGCGTCCCAGTGTATTTTGCGCCCCTTGCGTGCGAGCCGGTGTCTTTTGACATCCTCGACACCAAGCTCGACATGATTCTAGGCATGTCTTGGTTGCGTAGCACCGACCATCCGGTGAACTTCCATGACCGAACCGTTCACATCCGTGATCGAAACGGAGTGTTAGTTCTGTGTACGTTCGCGACTCCTCACACTTCGTTTGCTTGTCACGTGGTTTCCGTCGCGAGGATTCGCGACGCCATAGCTTGGAATGACGTAGAGGAGATGGGAGTTGTTTTCCTACATGCCCTCCCCTCAAGGGACGGACCAGCCGCGTTGCCGTCGGACCCACGCGTTACTCACCTCTTAGATGGATATGGAGACATCTTCGAGGCTCCCATCGGAACGGTTCCAGATCGGCCCATACGTCACGAGATTACTCTCGAGGAGGGTGTCGCCACTCCGCGTGGATGCATTTACCGCATGAGCGAAGAGGAACTCAAGGTGCTTCGCGCACAACTCGACGACCTCCTCGACAAAGGCTGGATTCGCCCTAGTTGTTCGCCATACGGTGCACCGGTTCTCTTTGTCCGGAAGAAGAACAAGGACCTACGGTTGTGCATCGACTATAGAAAACTTAACGCACAAACCGTAAAGAACGTCGGCCCTCTCCCTCGGATCGATGATCTCCTTGAGCGGTTGGGCGGCGCGACGTACTTCTCAAAGTTGGACTTGAAGTCGAGTTACCACCAGATCGAAATCCAGCCTCAAGACCGGTACAAGACCGCCTTCAAAACGCGGTATGGGCATCTTGAGTGGGTCGTGATGCCATTTGGACTCACCAATGCCCCCGCAACCTTCCAAGCAGCCATGACAACAGAATTCAGAAACTTGCTCGATCGTACCGTCCTCATCTACCTCGATGATATCTTGGTCTATAGTCGGACACTTGATGAGCACCTCGTACACCTTTGTGCGGTTTTGGATCGTTTGCGAGCAGCCAAGTACAAAGCAAACCGCGACAAGTGTGAATTCGCCAAACGAGAGGTTGAGTACTTAGGCCATTATGTAACGCCGAAAGGCATTTGTCCCTTAGCGGACAAGATCCAAGCCATGGTGGATTGGCCGGAACCCCGTTGCACTATGGATGTACGTTTTTTCATGGGTTTGGCTGGATACTATCAACGCTTCGTCGAGTCTTACTCCAAAGGGGCAGCCCCTTTGTCGAGACATCAGTCCCCGAAGGTACCATTCGAGTTCGACGACGCGGCTCGTGGCGCATTCAATACGTTGAAGGCGGCGATGCCCGACCCTCCGTATTTATGACCCCACCCTACCCACCCAAGTGACTACGTACGCTTCCGGATATGGTATTGGTGCGGTACTAGAACAATGCCACCCGGACGGTTGGCACCCGGTCGAGTACTTCTCCCAAAAGGTGCCTCTCATCAACTCTCTTGATGACGCTAGGAAGAAAGAGTTACTCGCGTTTGTCACCATTCTCAAACGGTGGTGCCACTTTCTTCTCGGTCATCGGCGTTTTGAATAGAACACGGACAATAATTCGTCGACCTACTACAAAACGCAGCACGATCGGTCGATGGATGTATTACATCGACCAGTTTGACTTTGACCCATGCCACATTCCCGGTCCCGCCAACCGAGCAGCGGACGCCCTCTCACGACGGCCCGATTTTTGTGCCCTCGTGACTACAACGTTCCAGCTCGACGACAATCTGCAGCAGCACTTCGTCAACGGCTACAAGTCCGACCCGACATACTCCACGCTATACGCAGAGCTCTTGTCGGATCACCCGCCGGCCAGTCACTATCGTATCTCCGACGGGTTCCTACTCCTCCACACGAGAGGAAAGGACTTGTTAGTGGTGCCCGAGGATCGCATCTTACGGACTAGCCTCCTTGGCGAATTCCACGACGCATGACTTTCAGCACACCTTGGCGTGACCCTCACATTGGCCCTCCTCCGCTAGCGTTTTCACTGGCCCGACATTCTCCACGACGTCACAAGGTACATTGAGTCATGCGCAGTTTGCCATCGTAACAACGGTAGATCTCAGGTCCCTTACGACGAACTGAAACCGTTGTCGATTCCTCGTGCACCTCACCTCTCCATTGCTATGGATGTTACAGGCCCATTCCCCCGCGATCGCCTCGGTCATGACGGGATCCTCACAGTCGTTGACCGTTTGAGCAAGTACGCTCGTTTTCTTCCATGCAAGTATCATGCTACAGCCCCCAAGCTCGCACGACTCTTGCACACCGGCTGGATTACCTGCCACGGTGTTCCGGAAGACATTGTGAGCGACAGAGACACTCGCTTTATGTCAGCCTTTTGGACCTCCCTCATGGCAGAGTCCGCTTCGACTATGAAGCCGAGTTTCGCACGACACCCGCAGACGGATGGGCAGACGGAACGAGCGCATCAAACCGCTCAAATGATGTTGCATACACTCATCCGTCCCGACCAGAAAGATTGGGTTGATCGGCTTCCCGACATCGAGTTCGCCTATAACACTTCGGTGCACCCGACCATCTGCATCACTCCATTCGAGTTGCATCACGGTGGAGAGAAAGCTCGAGTCTTTGTCGATCTTCTTCTACCACGGGCCGCCGGCATCGACGTCGCTTGCTCTCTCGCTTCCATTCGAAAGTATAGGGACTTGCTAATCAAAGCCCGCATGAACATGCAAAAGGCTCAAATCCGCATGCAGCAGCAAGCTAACCGACGTCGACTCCCATGTCCTTTCCGCGAGGGAGACCTTGCTTGGGTCCTCGCTGAGGAATTCGTGCTGGAGCAAGACGTCTCACGCAAACTCCTCCCAAAATGGTTTGGACCATGGAAGGTAATTTCTGCAGCAGGCGACGACCCTGCTGGCCCTTCCTTTGTGATTGTCATCCCACCGCACCTCCGCCTGCACCCGGTTTTCCATGCATCGAAGCTGGTCGTGTATACGCCATCTTCCGAGGATGAGTTTCCAGGCCGACGATCACAGGATTCGCCCTCTATGGAGGGACATCAGGAAGTTGACCGTGTCATCACGCATCGCAAGTATGGCAACAAGCCAATGCAATACCAAGTCACATTCAAGCAATGTGCCCCTGATGACACGAGATGGATCTCCCGCACAGACTTACGGGCATCTGCACCACTCATCTTCTTTGACTACGAGAACCGGCGACTCGCCAAGGACAAAGTTCGTCCCACCCGACCCACCCAGGTATCGGACAGACAACTTCGCCCTCGCAGATAGCTCGGTCATTTAAGGGGGGCAGTGTGTTACATACTGCATTCCACACAGGCCCTTTCAGGCCCGACGACTAGGCTGAGGGGTTCCGAGGGCCTGGATGCAATAGTCCAGGCCAGGCCGGCCCAAAGGCCGGACCTTTTTAGGCAGCCCCTTCGGCCTTATGCAACCGGTTCTAGACCAGGTCCTGCAGCTGCAGACCATGGGCGGGAATGGCCAAACGTTTTCGTTTGGACCAGGCCGCCGCTTAGGCAGCCTGCTTCCCGAAAACCGGTCCGACCTGAACCACGGATCGGACGATAGATCCGACGGTTCAGATCGGAGGCCACCTTGGGAGGCAGAGGCCAAACTGGCCACCGGCCGGTAGGGCCAGCCAACGGCCATTTCGGGGACTTCGGAGGACAGCAGCATTGAGGAACGCCGCTGCGCTATTTCGGTTCAGCGCAGCGCTAGGCAGCAGCGCTAGGTGTAGCGCTGGCTGTAGGGAGAGGAGAGAGCGAGGAGGGAGACTTACTTGACAGCAGCCACGAGCGCCATAGCTCCCAGCAGCACAGCCGTCTCCTGAAGCATCCAAGGCGCCACCTTGTACCATCAGGTAGGGCCTAGAGCTACTCGCCATCTCCACCAATGCTCCGCCCCTCTCTTCTTCTTCTTCTTCAGACTTCTTCTTCTTCTTCTTCTTCAGACTGGAGACTATTGATACGAGTTGGACAGAGATCAGTGATTGGACATTGGAGATAGTTGGGATTGATACCAGGCGGCATCACAGATCGGACATCGGTTACATTAGGATTCTGTACCTCCGACATTGGTGACTTATGTCCACGACATTCTGATTTTGTTCGGTGACATTTTGGGCTACCATATCNACTTATGTCCACGACATTCTGATTTTGTTCGGTGACATTTTGGGCTACCATATCGGTGACCTTCTGGATTCTATCTCGGTGACATCTGGCGCTGTCCTTATCTCCCACCTCCATCGTCTCTCCTCCCACCATTCATCTGTGTATGATTGTACGGGGCCTGAAGCATCGTCCATGTATGGCTTCAGACCCCCTCCATCTCACAATTGCTTGTGTGTTGAGTGATGTTTGGGTGAGTTCAGTCTATGTGAGTCAATCCATTTCTTAGACTTCCGCTGTATACATGCTCATCCTATATTTTTTCAACACACATGCAATTCATCATTTTTAACCAATATTCCAACAACATGAGGAGAAAAACAATGTGTTAACCATTCTTGACCAACTTAAATATGACACCAGAAAAAGGATAAAAGTAATGTTCTCATGACACACTCAACACTTAGGCAATAATTATTTTGAAGGCAATACCTGCAAAATCCCCCAATTTCTTATGATCTAGTACAACAACCGGATAAGTTTAATATATGGCTGAAGTGTTGAAACTTCTCCCCTTTTGATCGACCTCTAGTATAATACTTCGTCTCTCAACATTTTTCAACCCCTCTTCACTCCACGCTGTCATGTGGATTAAGATAAGTTAGCAACAGACTATTTCAAGAGCAACCCCCAAATATAAAATTATCCCATCCATAATCTTTTCTTACCCTTCAAGGTCAATGTGATCTCAATGCAGAGGCTTTGAATTCCTATATCCCTGCATGTTTAATCGACGTTCATCTTTCAATTGATGTATTTTATAATATTTTCAACTCCTCCGCCCTTGCATGTCCAATCAATTATGCAAAGTATGTGTTTTGTCTCATTTCTCAATCCACGTGGATAACTTTCAACTTGTTTTGTTATCGATTCTTCCGCCACATCTCTCACCATTTTGTCATGTTCGTCCCACCTCTCATTTATGATTTCAATGTTTTCCTCACATAAAATCTTTATACCTAATGCGTGGGCCGTTCGGGATGAATGTGGAAAGGAAAAAAAAAACCTGAAAACAAGATATGTTATGAAGAAAAACAAATTAAATAAGATTTGCCTGAGCATTACACCCAAATTCCTTACCAAATTTAAAATAAAAATAAAATATGAAAAACGACTACTAAAAAAAAACAAAAAACAAAAACAAATTTAGTGAGCGCGCGAGCACGTTTTCGACACCACCATCTTTGGTGATTTTTCAGTTTTTTTAGGGAATAGTTAAATATCCTGAAAACTTATAGACGTGTAACTCACATAATGCAAAACCCACTGAAAAAAATTCAAAAAATAATAAAATTGTTTAGACCTCGAACTAAAGTGAAAACAAAAAGTAAAAAGTAAAAAAAAATGTGGGCGAGCACGTTTTGACACCGCCATCTTTAGCGATTTTTAATTCTTATTTGGCTGAGCCAAATGACTTGAAAATTTATAGGCATGTACCTCACGGCATAGAGAACTCACAAAAAAACATCAGAAAAAATATATATAGTTTTAGGCCCCGAAATAAATTTTGGCGGGTGCCGAACACCGTCGGGTTCGGACTCCATACGGGACCCTGAACGCTCGTACGTACGGAGGTCTGCCTGGGGACCTCCGTACGTATGAGCTATATATATATATATATATATATAGGACATTCCATAATGATTCAAAATAATACTGATGACAAAATTCAATGGAAATGCTTAGAATCTAAGATAGAAAGTCAACGTATACATTATGGACGATTGGATACGTGAACATGAGTTACTATATATATATATATAAACTCATCAAAACATTCAAATACTGAGTCATGACACTTATATAATCAATGCATTTACCTCGTTTATATAAGCAATAACAAATCAATTTAGGTATGTATTTAGTCATCCTCTTAGCCTTAACCCCCCTTCTATTCTTAAGTAGTTGTTTCTTAATAGGGTTAACTTCAACAAAGTCACAAAAACAGGTTATAATTGCACTATGGGGCAAGGTACACCTTGCACTTGTACTTCGGGCACCCTACTTGACCAGAAAATTGGGTTGTATACATTGCCCAAACTGCAATTCGAAACTGTATTTTGGTCCATAGTGCCATTATAACTCATTTTTGTAACTCCCGCGTAGTTTCCTGTTCATAATATTACTAAACCAACCCACATAATCCTGTATATCAGCGAATTGTGTCATTTATAAACCATTTCAAATTGTTTGATTCCARCAACTTCAACCTACCGATTGCACYTTTGTTGTTACMGTGTTAATTGATGCTCGTTGTGTATGAGTTGCACTGTATTAAAAAACATGAAATTTTCCTTAGCTTCACCCGCATTTACATTTGCATTTTCATCTGTGTCTTTATTTTCATTTGCATCTTTCAGTGCCGTTATATTTGTCCAGCTTCCAAATGGTTCCAGTGTCTTTGTCGGGGTGTTGACTTGCAAAGAATAAATACGGACACAATCCTATTGCATGATTACTCCCTTAATATTATGTATTGAACACAAGTATACTACGATTACTTGAAAAACTACAAACAACCAAGAACATTTAAAGCGATAAGCATCTTGGAAAAAATAAAATATTATATATTCAACTTACTTTGTCTCAGTGACTATCATTGTGATCTTCGCCATTCACTTTCTCATTCGTTTTTTCTCTCCTTATCCCCTGTTGACTTTCCCAAAAGTTGTTTCGACAGGTGTGAGTTACCTCATCAGGGTGTGTGCTTGGTGTTTTGAGTTGACTGTAGCATTAGCCATATCTACTACTACCTACGAGTCATAGAGGCCAACCTGCTTCAACCTGCCCAAATTGGACGTACATGAAGGGCCCAAGAACGACCATTTCGTCAAAATGGACATTTTTTTATTTTTTGAACAAAATTGAAACAGAGTTTTTTGGCCGAAAACTCGTCAAAAATTGTTGTTCCTGAGGGTCCAGCGTGTACATGGACCTAGCTTGAGACCAGGCATCTCTAGACAGGACTGCATGGAGGTACCTGGTCTCAAGCTAGGTCCATGTACAGCCAGGGGGTCTAGCATTTTACAAACGCCGGACCCTCAGGAACAACAAAATTTGACGAGTTTTCGACAAAAAAACTCGGTTTCAATTTCGTTCAAAAAATACCAGATGTCCATTTTAACGAAATGGCAGTTCAAGAGTCTAGTCCTAAATCTCTCTCTCTCTCTCTCTCTCTCTCTCTCTCTCTCTCTCTCTCTCTCTCTC